AGGGGCAGGAAAAGGAGATGGAGGTCAGGTAGTGGGAAAAGCAGTACGGGGCAGGCAGTAGGGCAGGTGACAGTGGGAGCATTGGGGACAGGTGGTAGGGAGGTGGTGGGGGAAGGCAGACTGCTTGCCCCCCACAGCCCTGGACCCCTGCCCCCCTTGCCTTATCTCTTGCCATTCTGCAGCCTCTTTCTTCCCTCACCTCCACTCTTACCCTTGCTCTGGCACCAGCAGTCTCCATCTCTGCTTCAGTCTGGGGCACAGAGCATGGCTTCAGCCTGGGCCAGCAGCAGTGGCTTGGAGTCTGTTGACAGGGGAGATGCCACTGGAGGTCACAGTGAGAGCCCGCGTGAGTGTGAGAGAGCACTTGCACCCATTCCCCTTTTTAGAAACAGAAAATCGTAAAGCAGAATATAAAAAAATTGAAATTTGAGGTATGTAATAACTTGCATCTATTGACAGGGATCAAAACTTACAGTAGCCAGCATCTTGAAGCACTTAACCATGCTTCATTCCTTTCACAACTATATAACTACATTTGAAGTTACTCTGCAGTTACCAAAACAAACATGGTGTGATTAAGTTTGATCTACTGCATTTCTTCTGATGAATATATATCGGGGACAACACATCATCACCCACGATAACATGGGTGCACAAAAACTTTGTGCATTTATGTATTCCTCTAAATTAGTTTTATTTCATTTTTTACTTCCAAAAATCCTTGACAACTGACAAAAAGCACAGGTATAAAACGATCTCCTATTGTTTAAGGTGCAAAACTAATTTCAGATTGAATTGCTATGAAATAATTATATGACTTTGCTAATCACTTTGCACTAATTCTCAATGAAAAAAACAAAGGGAAAACACTTCCAGATGGGAACACTGATGCTTGAACAGGGGCGTGGCTTGCCTGAGGTTCCTTGGTCCAACAGTAGCAGAACTTGGGTTTTTTATGTTCCTGCCTCATGGTCTAATCTATATATACTGTACTGCAAAGGTAGGCAACCTTGTCTGGCTGTGAGCTGAAACGATCCACCCTGGGTCAGAGGCAGGCATTTGTCTCTGTGGTAAAATGGGCAGAGTGCCTGTAACTGGCACCTCCACTGCTGAAATTCCACATCCAAAGGATGGATCCAAAGGTTCATAGAGCAGACTGTACGCTGCTTAAATTTTCCTCTAGCTGGTGCAGGTCATTCCACAGAGCCAAGATTTTATCTGGCTCCTTAAGAACTCTTCCTAAGAACAAGTAGCTCAGGTTACTTCTTGCCCTAACCCAGATACTTTGTATATCAGAGCAAAATTGGGAATATTCAGTGTCTAGGTAGGTTCTGCTTTGTTTCTATCCCTGAAAGGGGGTAAGATATTAGGTTTTGGTACCAGTACCAGACAAAATAAAGCACAAAACTGTTGAGGTCCTCTCACCTCACTTTTTTCTGGGGTGGAAAGCTGAAGTGTAAGGTAAGGGTGAAAAGTGTTTTAATATCAGATTATTTTTATTTTAAAAAGTTAAAGCTGTGGCTATGGCTGAGATTAATAGGTAAAGCACAACCAATGAAATGAAAGATGCAAAATAAGCAGTGTTGCCCAAGCCTGCCAAAATAAGGGAAATCATGTAATGCTTTTCAAAACACATACAAAATCACACATATGCAAATCATATACTATTTGTCTATGCATCATATATATCATATGATTATTTATTGAATGTTTATGCATTATTCTTCCCAGTGCTAGAAATAATTAAAGAAAATACATTATAAAGACTAACTCATTTTTGTAATTTCAAAATATTGACTATCACTTCAGTTTGGTTTAATTGTGGTGACAACTTTCAGAGTACTAAAATAATTAAACCCGCTAAAATTTATTAGGGCCCTAAGGACGTTTTGGAAGGAATACTATCCTAGTTTTCAGCTTTAAAGCCTTAGCTACATTTAATGTAATTTTTATCAATAACCAAGCAGCTCATAATATTACAGCTCCATTGAAATCTTCATGCTGTGAAATCTAATTCATCCAATACATGAATCCATCACTTACACGGACCCTATCTCAAATGCTATAAAACTTCCAAACCCATAGATTTGTCTCCAACAAAAATAACATGAAGGGGCCTTTCAATCAATAATGGAATCCCTCTGATTCTGGTACCAGCTGAATATTTTCTCCAACTTTGCTTTTGTTCTTCTGGGTAGAGGCCCACAAGGGAAAGAGCTTGTTTTCACTCGCAGCCTCATCAATACCTAAATCCTGGTGAACAAGTGACACTGAGAAGCTGTAATCAATAGCTCCCTGTGCGTTTTTTCTTCTGGTCAAATGGTTCAGCACTACTGACAGGCCTGACACTTAGAACATGATGCTAAATCTTTATCAACAGCCATCTAGGTGACTGGCAGAACAAGACTCGGGTGGTCATTAACGCTCATGGCAATCTGTGAATAAACTAACTCCTCAATAATGCGTTTGTTTAGAAAAAGGTGGGGAAAAAAACTCTCTGCACAATGTATTGATTGCCTTTGAACTGCATTTAGCAAATTCTGTCTGAGGATGAAACAGAATGGTGTTCAACTGTGGTGCTCTGCTTGTTAAGAGTTTTCAATTTGATGCAATAGAAAACTGACCATCCTATTATACTAGTTGATGGACTGAATACTTACAGAAAGCTGCCAAACTGTCAAAAATAGATCAGTGAGGCCATAATGGAAACAGCTGAAATATCAAGTTATAACATACAACAAAAATCACACTTAGCAAAAAATAATCTTTCAGTTTGCTCATGTCCTATTGCTTTTCCACCCCCTATTCCCTGATAGAAACAAATACTGTAATATGAACCAGCATGTGTTCAAGTTTATTGCTAGCCACCTAAGGAATTAATGCACAAGTAGTTTTATGTGTTTGCAACATTTCAAATCCATACTTCACAATCTTCTCTTAAATGCACAATTACTCTATTCAATCTTGAATGTTTAAAACATTTTGGCTGAATAATGCCCTTTACTTATGTTAGATAGATTTTAGTGTCAAGTTATACAGTTAGTTAGGTTTTAGCCTACACAATAGCATAAGCAGATAGAATATAAAAGACCGTATACAGTTATTATTGCTGTTAACACACCACTGAAGACATCTTATTTAAGTCATAGAATAGTCATTTATGATGGCCTTGGACTAATCAGCCCAACATTCCCCATCTCCCAAGAGTCTCTGTGCTTTCTTTTTGATCCTCCTATACTATTCTAATGAGATTTTTAATTGAACTTTATGGGTTCCCTTTGAGGACCACAGACCTCACAATCAATCTAAACTGCAGTAAACTATTTGAAGTTTTTCTTGCAAAAGGTGAGCCATCCCTACCATGTCCTTGGCATAATTTGAAGCAAAGACGTTGCATCTCTCACAGCTGCTGCCGGCACCTTTTCCACCTTCTCATAAAGTTGAAGGTCATTGTATGAATTATGTGAAGTAACCTAACTACAAAGGGAAACTTGTAGAATGTATACTACAGAAATTAAGTATCAACCCAACATGATTTGTAGAGGAGAGAGGTATTTTCCACGAAATAACAAAATACAAGGGAAATGTTTTTTATTACTATATGTATTTTGGGTAATATTATTCATTTGAATTTTACAGTTGTTTATAAACACTTATTTTTAGTGATAATACTACCCTCAGTAATTTAAAAAAAATTTTTTTAGCGACTTAGGTCACATTTGGACCAAAATTTGTGGAAATTAATACTATTAAATTGATTCAGACTGGTTATGGACTAATAAATGTTTCTGAATACTGTTGTAAGTACCAATCACTGTCAACAACCAGATAATACATATTTCAAAGTGCAAACAATTGCTGATTTCAATTTTGTAGTAACTAATCTTGCATAGTTTTTACAGTAAGGACTCTGAGGTGTATTTACTGAACTTTAAACTATTGTGTTGAGGGAAAAAATGACAACCTGGCAACTAACAAAAGCAAAAAATTTAAAAGCACACACTTTGTATTTCATGTGCAGCAAATCTCTTATCATCAATGCACTCCATAACCAAAAATTACAGCTAATAATGTTTCAATGTACTGTAACCCCCTCACCCCCGTAGATTTATGCAATTTTTGACCCATCCAGAAGAGCAACACTACTCAAGAAAGGCTTTAATAAAGACCTAATGTAGCAGCTGCAGTACTCTAATAACTGTTTACCCATAACTTTTCCAGTAACATGTTAAACTGAATGCATATTTAGTCAGATTTTTAAACATCAATATCTTTGTTGAAAATGGAGCCTGAAAGTGCGCTTAGAAATAGACAAGGTTCAGTAGGAAACCCACTAAGAGGAGTGGTGCGCAGTCAAACAACCTAATGAATATCTAGTATTTGTGAGGTTTGAAAGCACAATATAAAAAGTATATTATAAGTTTCTGGGTGCATGTGAGACTTTTACCTATGAAGCAAAATATAGAAACACAATATGATATTATGTTTTGTCAATACGTTGTATCGTACCTGACAATACAAGATATTTTAATAGGGGAGAATGCTTTCCAATACAATATGGTATATATTAAGATAAGGGAATACAATGCAAACCTACAGGAAACAGTTCTCAAAGAATAACAATGTAGTTTTGTGCAAAAGGATATGTAATTGCTATCGCCTAGAAATGTATCCAGCTTTGCCCTCAGGCTGCAGTGGAGCAGCAGCATCCAAAGTAGCGGTAACAGCAGGTTGTGGTGTGAAAATTCCTGCTTTTTCCCTTGTGAGCAAGGATGAAAATAGTTCTGAAAATATACAGCAAAGCTATGGCAATTTTTTAAAGTGGGGTCCTATCTTATTTTAGTTATTTCCCATCCCATGGTATAGTGGTTTCTGTCCCTGATGACATACCAAATTTTTAGCATAGGAGAGACCACTGTATAGCTATAGAGAAAGACATATTGATAAAATACCATACCAACATTTCACAATGGAAAGCTGCTAATAAAAAAAATTGAATATTTCATTGTAGTTTAATGAAGCCCCTGCCTGTTCCATCACACACTGTCATTACAGCACATCTGTAATTAGATTCTAAATACATTCCATACAAGGACACGTGCACAGTCATTTTGTACTCCAGAAGGGCCATGTCTTCCCCATGTGGCATTTTCCACTTAAATTCATACCTACCAGTCCCCATATATGGGTCACTTGTGTGCTGGATTTTCTTTACAAATCAGGAGAAATGTGTGTAGGGTATGTGGCACTGTGAAAAGCAAAACTTTATCATTTGTGTATGTAGAGCCGCTTTCTCTTGTGTATACAGATTTTTGTATTCACTTTGCAACCACATGTTGTAGGCTTATATGTACCTTATTAAAGTAAATCCTGGGCAAACTGAATGTAAAAACAACATGGAAGGTCAAAGATTACAATTGATATGATGCTAGAGTAATAAATAGATGTAGTAAGGCATGGAAAGACACACATAGCTGAGGGCATGTGGTAATGAGGAAAAATATGTTCAAGAATGGCTGAAAAGGCCACAGTATTATTAATAGAAATGAAACTATACTTCTCTTTTTAAACAAGTATTCCTTGTTTAGGCATGTTAAAGGATGAAGAAACAGTAGCATCATTTGGACCATCTATATTAATGGCTTCTGTGTAACTTGTTTAACAATGAAAACTGATGAATGTTAACATCACTCCTATTAGCCAAATACAGCCTGCATCCTGGCTTCTGCTACTTCACCAAAGTAATGCTAATGTCATAGAGACACACATTCAAAACCCAATGACCTATATGGTAATCTTAGGGAAGGGGCATATACTCCAAGATCTAAACACAGTGGAGTTACAAAACCAAAGTCCCACTTCCTACCTTCTCTTCCATTCATGTTGATTTCTTATGGCCTAATCCCCAATGCCATGACCTAAGTAGCCTCAAATTTAGTACACAGTTCATAGCAATGGACCACAAACCATCTTATCATGCTGAATGTATTTGAGACCCAAACCCTCAAAGGGTATTTAGATGCCAGCCTAATATTCCAGGTTCCAGCACCCACTAGTTTTATTTCCTTCATTAAGGATTGGTGCCTGAGGCAACTGTAAGGGAGGCTTACTATCTCCTGTTTTTTACCAAATGCCATAAGAATTCAAAGGCCAGGCCATTACATAATATACATTTATATAATTTAATTACTATTTTCACAAGTTGAGGTTCTGGTCCAGGTGGAAGTAGGAGAGGAACCTGGCCAACCTAGGTAACTCAGATCCTGAGCTAACAAGGAACTGAGTCTTCACTACTTGCATATCATATGCAAACTCACACTGTCCAAATTGTGGAACTACTTCATAACTCAGTCAAAAGCATCCACATCCTGTCAGAAGGTGTCACTGTTGAGTGACAAAAGGTTCCCCTTACTTTAGAGTATGTCAAGAAAGAAAAAAAAGAAAAGAAAACAAAAAGTTTGCAAATAACCAAATTTGGATAGCTTGATGAATTAAATTAAAATAAATGCAATACGTCTTTCTCAAGTTTCCAAGCCCAGTAGCACTATGAATGGTGAGAAATAAATCATATTAAACTAGTTTGTGCATTAACGCTGATTAAAAACACTAACTGACCTTATTACTCATGGTAGAGTAGTTTTCATAGCAGATAAATTTGATCTAATGACATTTAGCCCACAAAGCTTTCTGTCTAAACCCACCATCTTCCATCAACTTTATTTCAAAGTTGACATGAACTTACAGGATTGCTTCTCATTGCTCCTCCCACTGCTCTTGCTGCTTTGCTGTTGCCTGCCAGGTCTGCTAATTGCTTGTAAGAAACTGTCTCTCCGAATTTCACATCTCTCAACAGGGTCCACAACACTTGCCTGGTGAATGAAGCTGCAAAAAAGCAGTCACACACTATTCATAAGCATGTCTCAAAGAACTAACAATAAAGATAGTCAAAACCTATGACAATTAAACCACAGTATGAATAGCAACTTTTCTATTTTATATTAAAAGTGCTCAGATTCTCAGTCCTATTATTGTGTCCTATATTACTATATTTAAATACATGATTATTAGAGAGAGTGCTTCAAGTAATTGATCACTATAAAAAGGGGGATTTAAGGCTTTGATTTTCCTATATTTTTAATTTGCTTCAAGTACAATTATCCTGTTAACTCACACAATGTGGTTTTCCATTAAATTGGCAGAGTATAAATTAGCATAGAGTCAAATTAAGGAGGGAAGAAATAACTGGCTCTACCTATTTTATAAAGCTCTTGCATCTCTTGTTAATTTCAAACTTCAGCTGGGACACACTGGAAAAGAAGCCCTAGAGCCAGTGGACCTGGTATTATCCTGGCTGACTGCATTTTATAGTAGAGACCCCCAAGCTACTATTCAGAATTCTAGACATTATAGAATGTAAGGACTGGCTGTGACCTTGAATGTACAGTACATTCTTAATGATAAGGGCTTGTGGAAATAAAATAACTTCCATTATTTTAGTTTTAATTCACTATCAAATTGCTTTTAGTGTTCATAGAGTTGAAATAATGCATAAATGAATACATTAGAACAATTTCCCCTCTGCGTTGAAGAGTTTTAGATTTCCAGACCAGGATTATTTTACAGAAGGAAAACCAATAGCTAGTTTAGGATTTTAGTTTGGTTTAACACCTATTGTTCTTTCAAGGTACTTGTAGAAGCTTTGAAGATAACTACAAAACACTTCTACTGTATTGAGAGGAACAAATAGGGGGAAAAAACAGCACACATGATGAAAACACCAGTCTCCTCCTTTGGCAAATAAAACATACATTGATTAAAACCATTCCCTTATTTTGGAACTGTGTGTCAAAAAATACCATTGATTGTTATGTACAAACCCAACAAAATGTGATTTTGTTCTTAAAGGAAAGCCATACACCATTATGTGTGTGTTAAATAATAAAAATCACTTCTTAACTGAAGGGAATGATAATCACTTCATTGAAAAAATCTGTTTAGCCTTTATTATAACATTAAGCAAATTAAACATCAGCATAATCCAGGTGATACTAGAAAAGGGTCATCAAAGAAATTAACTTTGTTGTTCATTAATTTACATGGATTAGTAGAGGGCAAAGAGATAGCAAATCTGCTCTAGTTTTTTATGATATAATTTCAAACTGTACACCATTTGTGGCAGTAGGGTGACTTTGGGGTTAATCAGACTGATTTGTCCTTTTAATTGCTTTCTATTCAAAGAAAATTCATTAGATAATGTTCTCTTCAAAATTCATGAATCAATTTAACTGAAGAAACCACATTAACAGCTTTGGGTTCATTAGCACAAGCAGTTGTGTTACTAGCTGATTGCTAGGAGGGTTTCCTTAGGCAAACAGATTTTGTTTACTGTGATTTCTTTAGAAAGGTTTATTTCAAATCAAATTGTTACTTATTATTTTTTTAACCTCTTTTTAAGCCAGCAAGATTAGTGTTAACCTTAAGCACTCAGGGGTTTCAGGGAATTATTGCCTGATGTCATTTTTTAAAACCAATGAAACAAAGTAAATCCACATTGCCAGGGCCTGACTCCAAATCCCCCATTGCACCCCCCTGCCCTCCTTTTTGGCAGAGGAATAAGAGGCGCACTAGGCCCAGCAGGGTAGGTGGACCTGGAACTTTACAAAACCTGTAGGAATAAAATGAGAAGTCTGTGCAAACTTAACTGGAGCATGGAACAGTTACAAGAAACAATGGAATGGTTCCAAAGTCATCATTGGAGAGCAAAGCAATAACGTTACTGTGTAAATTGATGGCCAAATTATTGAGTACCTTTTAACATTCTAAAATACCACATAATAAAATAATGATGTATTAGAATATAAGGATGGAGTTTATCATGTATTTTGATACCTAGTGTGCATTTTTTCAGATAACATATAATAGTGTTTTATGATAACAAAAAAACCCTGACAAAACAAAACAAAACCCCCCAAGAAGTTATAGTTCAAAATAATGAAATATTTAGCAATCATGCACATCATTTTATAAATGTATCTGAAAACTCAATTTCACCCTGTAGGGAGCAAATGCATTAATTAGTTTAAGCAGCTCTAAGAGACAGTGCCAAATACTGTTATTAAACTGTCTGCAAGTGTTAGTGCCTATAAGCATAACCTGCTCAAAATTAGATGGTTGAACCTTCACCAATTTTCAGTACGGGTGCCAACATTTTATGCTGTTAAATATCATTATAAAGTGTAGTAAAATCTGCACATAAAAATTAACACACATTCTCTCTCTATATGAAAACACTTTATATTTTCATGAGTTTAGGATGACCGCATAATTCTTGAGTGGCAGATCGAAGCAAAACCATGACTAAATTATACTACATCATCCAAACTTAATGGATTGTCAGAAGTACCATCTCTTCTCCATTCCCTTACCCAGTACTCAACACTGTATATACTACTTAAGAAAAATATTCTATCAGTTTAATATGCTCTCTGCTGCCCTCCTTCCAGAGAATGGTTGCTTCTCACAACAATAGAACAACCAATGTTATTTAAAAACAATAAATTCTGATTTAATTGCTCAACAGCTTGTCAAATTTTCCCTCTAAATGGACTAAGTTGCAGAGGCCATCTTAAACCACTGTACCTCCAGCAGAGCTATGAAATCCCTCTAAATGGACATTCATCAAATGTGGATTTTGAAAGGGGGATGTCTCATGAGTGCACAGAACTATAGGTCCCAGGGACACTGATTTAACTTATTTATTTGCAAGAACTTTCTTATCCAAAATGAACCTGATAAACACTTCAGAAGAATATGGTTTTCCAATGGTAGCATTAGTCAAATATCAGGACTGGCAGTAAGAATCAAAATGTTAAAAAAAAATTGTAAATAAAAATTCATTCTCCCATTGACATGGGAAAGTACAATAGCAGGCACTTACATATATCTCCAACTGTTTCTTCCTTGGTTTATTTTTAAGACAATAATGGAATGAAAATCCAGGCTGCAGGCCTACAGGCATTTCAGTGAAAGCTGCAGTGTAACACTTCATGTAGGACAAGGAGTTTAAAGTAATCTAGTTATGGATATGGGCAACGCTACTTTCCACTGATACCTCTGAAGCAGGTCAAAAAGGTAACTTACTTATTACTGGAGCAATATAAGGAAAGGCAGTGCATGGGCAAGTGGGTAGCCAGAAGAAAAGACCCTGTATCATGGTAAGGAGAAAGAGAAACCGGGATGCCTTATAGTAAACTAGGAGGCTTTGGATGTGAAAAACCTAAGAAATTAATGTCTGAGAGCAGAAATGGCTTCCCAGTGAGGGGGAAGAAAGGCGGTGATATTAACAAGGGAAATGGAATTTGAAGACAAGGATTAAACTAAGAAAAAATACACCTCAACAGCATACCTCTCGGTAGTCCAAGAGGTAAACTGCTGAGAAGGTGAGACCCAGGAAGAGAGAGGAGTTAGGAAATTATGTCATAAAGGAATGCTTATGGCGTGGTTTGGGGATTTCATAGCTCTGCAGGAGGCACAGTTGTTTATGATGGCCTCTGCGGCTTAGTCCTGAATATTCAGTGACCATTAGGATGGGTTTAACTACAGACACAAATGGTTGCTTGCACCTGGGGCCCTTCATCGTTGTGGTGCTAGATGAGGAAGGAATAAAAACAGACCACAAAAGTATGCACTGGGCACAGATATAGGCTGGAAGGTTTGACTTCAGTTATAGTACATATGGTAGGTCTTGGGAACATATTTTGTTGGCAAACAACAATCCAGATCTTAGGTGAGACCTGGAAAAACATAAAATATATAAATTAACTTTTCTAGCCTCAATGAACAGCTTCCATTCCCTTCTCTACTAAAGGAGTTGCCATTCCTACTAATCATTTCCCAGATTTTATTAGAAATCTAAGTTATAACTAAAATTGCACTCTCATAACTTTTTATCAACCAATTTTGTTGAAAAATGTCCACATAATATTCTCCTGGGCTGAGAACGCATGTATTCCAACATTTTTTCTTGAATTGAATTTTTATAGGCCAGTTATAAGCCCCTGAAAATAGAGACTTATAATAAGCTTACCGTTAATGCCTTACTGGTTCAGGTGTGATACTATTCTGGTAGTCAGACAATGCTTGTGAGAACACACTGCCTCATACAATGAAGTTATCTTAATGTAGGAGAGAGGCAAACCAAAAATATTGTTTAAGGTGGGTGTCATGAGAATTTAAATGAAAAGGATGGAAATTTTATAAAATCAAACAAATTACCCTCTAAAACAGGGTCTGTGGTATAGGTATCATAAATGGCATGGGCAACCTTTTTGTGGGGGGTGGTGGACAGGCAGCACAGCGGTAGATAGGGCAGGAAGCAGAATGGAAAGCAGTAAATCAGGCAGGAAGCACAGGGAGGGAAGCAGAAAGCAGAGCAACAACTTGGGCAGGGGAAGGGGATTGGAGCAGGATTGGTCCTACACTTTTGAGGGTGTGGGGACAATTTGTGGTATATCTGCCAAAAAGGCTGACTTCCACTGCTTTAAACAATACATTTCTGAAGTATCTATCACTGCTCTTCTAGGCATTGTAACTATAACAGACATGGTAGATGCTCTGTGAGATAGACAACCTGAGAATGGAAGAGTAGGAAAAATGGTGGACACCAGGTTAACGATGTCAATAATTTCCTCTCTCCTACTACATGCCTCCTAAGAATTCTTAGAGGAAGACAGATTGAAAAGGTAGATAGGTCCAATTTATCTCCTCATCCTCCAACAGCTGAAGCCTGACAGGAAAGGAATACAGATTATTCATCCTCCTTTCCCAAAAGTTAATTGCTTAGAACTTGATGAATATATTAAAGTCTAAATTTGTCTCACACA